TAATTAAGATAAGGAAAAGTTAAGCAAAGAGCTTTTTTACACAAATTGAAAAGAAAAGAAGAAAAAAATAACGCACAATATAATCATATAACAAAAGAAGCCATCGATTAAATTATGCTATTACAAATTTAATTTAATTGACACAACTAGTACTACTTACAGACACATTCCTATTTCACTATAACAATACATCCTGGAACCCGAAAGAAAGACATGAAAATTAGTCGAAAAGCACTATTTAAGCCTTGATATTAAATTTTCCTGCAAGACTAAATTAAGTATTTCATTAAAAAGAATATTGAAAGAGAATATTATATCTCTCTATGAATGAAAATATATGAAAATATTGTAATGCCATATTCTTTTTTCTTATTTCATTTTTAGTAAGAATTATCTAAATTTTACAAAAAAAGAAAAAATTCTTATTTTTTTATATCAATATTATTTGTCTATTTTGCGTGTTTTCTCTTCAAGACAATTTCACGGTTAATTTCTTATAACATTTATCTCCCTAATTTGTGTGTCTTTGTTTAGTTTCAAAAATGTTGAAAAAAGACATTACATAAATCCAAAATAAGAATTTTTCTAGTCGACATAATAATACCTCAACATTTCTCTCTTTTGCGTATCGAGCGTGAAAAAGTATATCTTTTTTCCACTTGGATGCATTCACATTTTCTGTGTCGCAGATCCGTAAGGCACGTCTTATATGCATTGTGGAATATTTACATCCGTTGTCAAGATTTACATAGAAATTTAGGTAAATGTATATTCTATCTTACTGATAGTTCCTTTGACCTGAATCGGTGGTGGTAACACGCTTTTATGCGCGTCTTTATAGGAAATTCGTGCCTTGCGTTTCATATTCGAATGCACATGACACGGCTGCAATTGCATATCAATTTGTAGTAGCAATCCTATCGGCTAGAACGCAACGAACCAGGAACAAGGTATCCATAATAATTGTGTTCACCAAGCAAAACTGATAAGATTTCTATTGCTACATGCCAAGGATGGAATATCTTATAGAAATTTTTGTATTTCCGTCTGCCTCTTGTATTCCGTTTTCCTATTTCTTTCTCTATAAATATCTTTCATTAGCCTGAATATTAAAAGATCCTATAAAAAGTCATATAAACATATCATATTAACAGAAAAAGTAAATATTCAAGTATTGAGCATTCATAGAAGATAAATATTTTAAATTTTACAATTGGAGACAAATAATATGACAAAATAAAAATACATATCCATAACAATTTAAAGTTATTGTAAAATATACGCATAGATAAAATACATAAACGTTGAATATCACGTTGCGTTTGTAGGGTGTATTTTGGAAAAATTGATATCATTTATTTCATTTTTCCAATAATTTTGACTATTTTGTTTTTACAATCTTATTATAATAGCTGTGCTTATAGTAAGACTTATAGTATTTTACACGAAATTTTTTAATCAAAACATTTATATTTTTCATTCATACGAGATTTACTGAAACGTTACCGAGAAGTTGCAATTGGTCCGAATACAAATGACATGACAATGCATCCGATTGATTTAAAGGGAATATCGTTTGAAAATATATGATGTATATTCAATTATTCATAACATGATTGAAAAATAGTGACATATTTGTCTATACATTTTAACGTCTTAAGACAAGATTGAAAGCCTTTTATTCATTGAAAGCGGATCATTGTTCATTCCATAATATAAGGGTCCAAAGTTTATATCAACCCTGACAAAAAAGATCAAGCAGTGCCAGGGAATAAAGTCTTTATTTAATCTGGCTTGTAACAAAAAAATGGAGATGAGATATTTTCTCATGAATAATATGAGTATCAAGATATAGAGAAGCTTGTTATCTATTCAATAAATGCGATTATATATAATATTTTCAATGTCGATGTATTCAAAAAGTATATATTTGATATAATATATTCTTATATTCCTATTTATTATGTTCTACATTTCTTTAAATTTATTCTTTCTATTTTGTTAGCTTTTTTGATATAAATTTACTTTTACACAAATAATATCAAATCAATTCCATATCGTCAATTCAAGTCAATCCGCAAAATTTAAATTGCCTATCTCTTCGAACATCGACTATAAACTTTGTTCGTTCGCCATTCTTGATACGGGAATTTTCATTTCTCCTTTCATTCAAGACAAACCTTTCCAACTCATGATCAAAGTGCGACCATTTTTCTGTCTGACATGGTTGGATACTCCGAGGGTTCTGCTTTCGGCGTAAATCGAATTCAATGGTCTCTCGAATGAATGAAATAATGTGAGAGAAACTATAACCTATTATCCATTTATCGCGATATAAACAACAATAAATTATTTCTATAGCAAACGTGCGCGCCCTCTCCAAAACATTGATTTATTTAAAGTGACCGTCTGATCCGTATATGATTTCACATCTCTATGTTATATTTAATAAATGTACGTGTGACATTTATTTTCAATTTTAATATCATGTTTGTAGTTGAATAGAAAAAATTTCCATTGAAATCGTGCTAAGGGCTATTATTTTATAATTTCTTTTATTATACTCTATAAGTATATTGAGCTGCACATGACATTATATTAGAAATATTAGAAAATAGTATTTGATTGTGCAAATTGTGTGTGTTTACTGTTTTTAATTTTGTAGCTTTTTCCCTTGATTTGGCTAGAAAAAACGATGCAAGCCCTAACAATTTATTTAAATGAAAAAGATAAGATGCAACACAATCTTATTTTGTAATTCAAAATCAAATTAAATCAGCATATGTAAGAAAGAATTTAACAGTTTTAATTAATAACTTTTTTCAAATAATCAAAATAAATTATTTCCGAAAGAAATAAAATGATTAATAATAAGATACTATTTTTATATTAATATTAAGATTTAATTAATAATAAGATACTATTTTTTATATTCTAAATTATAAATTTCTATAATGTTCTAAAAACCGATTCATATAACATTTTATTTAATGATTTCATTAATATTTTAATAACATTTTATTTAATGATACTTAAATTATTCTCTGCTGTGTTATTGTAAAAGTGTAGTGTATTTTACGTGATGAGATAATTGTAATTAAATTCAAATATGCACAAGAGATCAACATTTTTTTTTAAATTAAAAAATATATATATTATTAATATATGCAATATTAATATTTGTTTATATTTTTAGACTATACCTTATTAAATAATAAGAAATGTTATTTCATTTTGTTATTATTTTATTATGTTTATATATTAGAGGAGGGATAATTGGCATTGAACCTTATGTTTGCCTTTATTGCCGCTTTAGGGCAATATAATTTGTAAGCTATGTAAACTTCTGGCTAATTTGTTCATAATACTCCCCGCAGCTGTAATAAGATTTTTCTGCATGGTAAATGAAACTTGACCATAATCATGTATTCACAGATAATGTTTGCTCTATGCAAATTCAAGAGATTAAACTCTTCCTAGGGAGTGAAGATATTGTGATATATGAAATTGATCTTATCTCTCTTGTACTGTATTTTGATTTAATTAAACATACTATTTATTGCAAAAAATTTGTTTGTAAATAGATTTAATTCTCTAAAACTTATATGAGAGATATGTATACATTATTTTGTATGTTATCTACTTTTATATAATTTTTTTCCTTTACTGCAAATGCCTTATAAAATACTATTTAAAAATATAGTTTCAATTATGTTTTACTTTTACAATTATTATATTTGAGTTTATAAAAGCAATTTGTTCTTTTTCATTAAAGAAATAATTTGTTCTTTTTTATTAAAGAAATAATTTTTAATAATCTTTATTTGTAAAAATTCTTATTAAATCATTTTAATAATAAACGATTAAACTGTATTTTCTAAATAATCTAAATAAATAAATAATATAACTCTAACAAAATTATAAGACTGAACATTATGTGATATTTTATATAATGAGAGAAATATTAAAATTAACTTTTATTTATTTATAATTTATATTTTTAATAGTATATATTAGAAAGTGAAATTTTACAAATACTGTAATTATATATATAAACAAATTAAAACATACCACTTTATTCATTGAAATCTATTCAATATATTCACTGAATTAATTTGAAACATTTACGTGAGAAACGAAATATTGCAATCACGTCTCTCGCGAAAGGAAAACCTCGATTGTCAATGCATCAACAAAACTGTCTACGAGTCCAACTTTGCAAAGCACACAGCTGGCAACTTTCCAATTGGTTTGGCCTACATCCATTTAGAATGATAACGAATCAAAAGCTCCTTTCTTTGGGAACTGTGATTTTTTGCATAATGATAGTTGTCTCTATATATCTCTAATTGAATGTAATAAAAATTACTGTATGATTGAAATCCAATTCTTAAAAAAATATATTAATCGATATTCGAATCTATCGAAATCTTCTCAAAAATCTCGAAGTTTATTGTTACTTCTATTCTGTGATATTCATTAGCTCTTTTCTTGAGTAATTATCATCATTTAGTTTTACTTTTTTTAAAAAATGAAAATTTATTTTTATAAATATCCATTACTTTAATATGTTTTAATACAGATTGTTAACAATGAATATTTTAATTTGTTAAGATTATTTTTTAAAATTTCCCTAAAAACAAACCAAAAAGAGTTTATTTCTGTTAAAAATAATTAATTTTAATTTTAATTTTTTATAATTTCTATAATTTTTATTTTTATTTTTCATAATTTTTATTAAAACTCATTCGATTTAACCTAATATCTATTAAAATCTATTAGAATTATTTTATTTAATTTGTTCTATCCATCATATCTTTCTATCTTTAATTTGTCCTATCTATCATATCTTTCTATTTTCTTTCATCACAACGAATTTATATATATATATATATATATATATATATATATATATATAATTTACAATTACTATTTATAATTTATGTCTATAATTTTTACAAATCTATTGTTTTAAAATAAAATGAAAGTTTGTCACTCACCAATTGATGTGCAGCGATGGAATTGATGACATTGTGAAGTTGTTAATCTGTAACATACAAGTATAAAACCTAAATTATAATAACATCCAAAATAATTAATATTTTAAAAAATTATTATTTAGCGTGTGAAATTTTCAATAATATACAATTATAAGCATACAATAATAAGCAGATATACATGTATATAATGAGCTTATAAATTCTGGAAAAATTTCTTTTTAAATAGAAACTTTTTATAAAATTTATAAACTTTTACAAACTTTTTATAAAATTTATATAAAAGTATTTCTTTCTTTAAAAAAATGCGTAAATCTTGCAAATAATTAAAAATTATAAGCATATATAATTTATACAGACATAACACATAAAAAAATATACAATATAAATAATAAATACCTCAGGGTTGCTCCATCAGCGTCCAATGTCTCTCCTAGATTTTCTCCGCCACTCAAATTGTTATGGTTCGTTGATTCATACTTTATATTCACAAAAAGTTCGTACAATTCACTCGCGGAAAGTTTATTACATACGACACTTATAAACGCGCGACATTTTAAATGGCATTCTCGAATTCATGATAAAAACTGCGCGATACTTTCAGCAGCCCCGAAATTTATGATCACAAAGCAATATACTGTCTAGTATTATTATTTTATTACTTGAATAAAAACCAGTCGCCATGCGAGTCAAGACCACGACATGTAAACAATAGCATGTTATACTCCAAGATTGGATACTGTGTTATTATTAATTTTCGCTATCGAAATATTTTTCTATAAAATATATATGATATATATACATATATTTGATAGAAAATTACGTTATGATTGAAAATTATGTGTAATTATGTTATGATATTTACATGATTCGTGTAATATATAATCTATACACTCGTATACATGTTTTCAAACCAGTAACAAATAATATTTAGACATATCGTTGCAATACATAATTGTTTATTGAAAGTTGATTAATCGTCAATTGTGATAATGAGTTACATCAATCATAATGAGTTACACCTTTCGATTTATCGCGATCGCGTTTCTTAGAGAAATTGAACAATGTATAACGAGTATTTCAGACCATTACCTTACCGCTCGAATGGCGCCACGCAAATGATAAGGTCGCACAAGTGACAAGGCCGCGACATATAAACAATACGCGTTATGTACTATCAAGGCTGAATACTGTGTTATGGTTCATCCATATTGTTGAAATTTTACGTATTATAATTTATCTACGAATATGTGCAGTTTCTTTTGAATTATATATTAATTATTAAATGATTGATATATTTACGAGGTTTTTCGTTTATTAGATGATCCCTCAATTCTGCAATTTATATCTTATTATGCAAATTATAATATCATAATTCAAATAGCATAAATATCAACGAATAATTTAAAGTATTGCAATATATATTACATATATATTACTTTAAAAAGATAATTTTAGTTGTACACGCACCGGCAGGAATGGTTCAGACCGGTGTTCCGATATGTATGTGTGAATGGTCGACGTCACATGCAAAGCGCGCACATATGTAAACCAAGAATTTATTCTTCATTAAATTTTATCCTTTTATATATAATTTAATTATTATTTAATTTAACAGAATGAATGCCGACCTTTAGTGCACGCGATTAAGTCGCATTTCTTAAAGAAATGAAAAATATATATCGATATCGATATTAAAGCGTACGACACATGTATAGAAATAGTGCGATGTCCCGCGCGATATATAGCTGTCTTGCTTGCACTCTCTCGTTCGAGCGTTGAGCGAGAGAGACGGCTATCGGATCTTACATCTACCTTGATATCACGCCTTATAATGCTTTCTTTCTCTTGTGCCGTGCGTGAAGAACGCAACATTGGAATGCCCCCGCTAGTCTACCCCCACTTTCTCTCTCGCTGCCCACCCCGCGTCATGCACGCTTCGCTTATGTGAGTGTGATATCAATGAGCATCATACAAGCATACCGGGACACCATTCCTACCGTTATGTATACACAAAATATGTTCCCAATTGTATAAAATATTGTATTTTATATACTTATAATTATTACTCAATATCTGTATATATAATCAAATTTATTAATTTATTATTAATTCCAATAATATTAACAATATTATAATTATGATAATTATTTCATTATTACATTTTATTGTATTGATGCTGGACGGATTACGTATAAAGATTTATATAAAATATATATTTAAATTAAATTAATAAAATGTTTGGGAGATATATATGCATCGAATATAGTCTTTTACGTATTACACAGCATTATTTTATAAACAATTCATAATTTATACTTTTGTTGACTCTATTTTTCACATAATATTATGACTAATAATAGAGAGTGCTGTTTCGTTTTCGTGGTAGCACTTTCTACTATAGTTTTCTAAACATAGTACCTCTCTTATGCTTATTGCATTCATTGCAAGAATCGCATTCTGGATGCACGAGAATACGTCCTTTAGGACTCGTGGACTATTGGATAACATGAGAGGCCACAACTACCTTGGCATTTATATTTTGCACATTGTGAAATTTTATATATTTATATATATTTTATATATTTATATATTTATATATTTATATATTTTTAAAGAAATTTATATAAGCACATATAAAATTTGATGATATTAGAGCGAAATTGTAAAGAAACTTAGCAATAGAAAAATTTTGCAATATATTACATATATTAAAAATATATATTATATATTTTTAATGTATTGCTTAGCGTTTATGTCGTATAAAAACATTTAAATCTTTTAGACATTAAAAAATATATAGCGTTCAATCAGAAAAATCTATTGTATCTAGAAATTTTAGATACATATAATATTAATTGCGTTAATTATATTAATTGTGTCAACGTAAGCAACTTCGAATGATATTTTTGAAATCATCTCAATGTCATTTCAACATGAAAAAAGAATCTGCTATATAAACGCAATAAACATTAATATTCTTTACATATTATAACACTTTATATCAATTCATGAATTCGGAAGCTTTAAAATTAAATATAAAATTTCAATCAAAATATTGACGTGTGTGAAAAAGACCATCTTTTGAAGTGACACAGTTTTATAATTTCCGCATAAATTATGTACATATAATAAATTATGTATACTATATGTGCTGTATAACTTCACTGTTTAACTAGATACTTCTAGCGGCTATTATGATGTTATAATTGACGATGAAAATTTTTCATAGCTCCGTGATTGACTTTAGCAGATCTTGCATTTCAACAAAATTGCAATCAGATTTATAATGAAACTGCGCAAAACGATATCGATTCGGCGGAATGACTACGAAAATTTCAGTGCAGGAAGATGTTAGTGGTCTCCCGGGTACGTCAGATCACACTGCTCTTTGTAGAAGAATGTAATTCTACGTTATCGAAGTACGTGATGGAATGAACGAATGGAAAAGAGAAGAATTAGTTTCTAGAAATCTATTATTCTGTTGACTGGCTTCGAATCTCATTTAACACTTTATATTTTCCATGATAATTAGGGTGAATTCATTAAGACAAGATTGATTATTAATTGGAAAGATAATTAAATTTAAATTAGAATAAAATTATAAAAATTAATATTTTTTATTTAATTATTATTAGTGTCGTTCAATTTTCTGAAAATAATATACTCAAAAATTAGATAGAGATACATATTAAACATAATTATAATTTATACGTATAATTATAACAAAGATCAGAATCTTTAAATAAGTTGTGTAAAATTGTTTAATGCTAGATGTGTACATATATAAATGTGTATATAAATTAATAAAAGTTTTTATATAACGTTTTTAAATAATGTTGTAAGTCAATAAGAGAGATAAATTTTAATTTTAATAATATCTGCTATGTAAGCTGAATAAACAGTATCTTACAATATTACGCGATTGATTTGAAATTATCAAACGTTCATGATTACAGCGCTAGTATAATTTCCTTATCCAAGAGTAATCTATTCGTCTGCGTACGATATGCAGCTGTCAAAATATTAATTTTAATGATGGTTTAGTTAGTACACACATTATACTTTGGTAATATAAATATACTTATTGTTAGTCATTCAAAAACTTGTAACATCTTATTTAGTTTTTCTTACTTTAATTTACTTTAATTCTTTTTCGACTTTATTAAATTTGTAATTAAAAATTTAAAAGTTTATATTTTTATATTACATACAGATATGTGTGTGAAAAATATAAAACGCATGATTCAAATATTTATATTCAGAAAATATAAATTATACATATATAGAAAATATAAATTGCAAAATATTAGTAAATTAATCCATTAAACATTAAACCTAGAAAGAATTTTTCAAATTTCAATAACATTATTAAATATCAATATATATCTATTAAATCAGTTTAATACATGAGCTTGTATCCAGATTGCTTGGTTGCTAATCCTTATTGATTAGCTTGTTAAATATAATACATCATGAATATCCTGCTTTATTTGCAGTATTAATAATGAGAGGTATCGCTTGTTAAGACGTTACAGCGCATGTAATTAAGCTATTAGCAATAGGTTATTCCTAACTTGACTTACTCTCGGTTATTTATTAATATATTTTGTATTATAGTTTTATATATATATATATATATATATTGTATATGCATGCGTATAGTGCAACATCTTTTATGATGTCATCTTTCTTAATGTAAAATACGATTTACAATACAATTGCCAAAAGAGTAATTTTGATCTTAATGCTATTATAGCAAATTATATACTAATGGCAATTTACTCAATAATAACTGAAAATTAATATTATACATTATTGTCAATGTCATTAAAAGTTATGATATAAATCATTTTATAAAAAATATAATTTTTGTTTTGTGACTATGCATGCTATAATAACTGCTTATCTCTTTATGCGAGCAATAACGTCCGTATTGTTTTACGAACCATTATTACGTAAATTGTGACATTATAATTAGTTACCTAGTTTTCGCAAGTGCAATCAAATATAATCCGATAACATTACGTAAATGCCTATTATTCTACCTGTTGCCGTATACTTTTGTAAGCCTATAATAAAACAAGAAAGACACCAATTCGCTAAAACTTTTGTCACATTTTAAGTCAATACACATACATTATTAAGAAATCTTTTAAATACACAATCTATCAGATTTCTAAAAAATGTCTGTAAAATTGTTTACGATTACTATTTGTTTATCACGATTATTATTTGTTAATGGCAATTAGACTTAAATATCAGATACAAGAAATATTATCTACTTCTTAAATTTATTCATGTAAAATTATATTTTTTGATACACCGTAATTTTAACTTTTGATGACATTAATTTGTCTGTTATTATATTTGTTTTAAAATATGTGATTCCGCTTAATATCTCTATAATACTACCAACTACGTAACAGCTCGGATTAACTCAATACCGATAAATTGTGTAACTAAACGCATATTTCAGCTGATTACCATTATTATCCGCAATGTATTATTCATGTCTTGTTATAAATCATAAATCATAAAATAATAAATTTACGATTACATTATATATATATATATTTTTTTTTTTTTTTTTTTTTACTGAATGTCAATCTTACAATCAAATTTTAAATTAATCATTATTATTACGATTATATTTATTATTATTAAGTTGCAATGCTATTTTTAAAAATTATTTTTTTTCAAGAGAAGAATTTTAATTTTTATCTAGTTTT